CTCGTTTACGTCGTATAAGATTAGAAGTTATCGTCAATTATTTATATATGTAGTACAATAATCTAGTAAGAAGTATAATGACCTTCCTTTAGCAATTCCTGTTCATTGTTATCGAATATTTCGTTATTCGATCTTCAACGTTTATTTATCTATCTGAGTGAACCAAACAGAACTCGATAACAAGACATCAGTATCTACCAAGCAAGATCAATTTTTTACTTTTCGATAATCAACACAAGAACATGATGCTTCATAGAAAAAAACAGCGAAGCACTTGCTTTATTGGTAACGTGAAGCATTTCTTATAATAATATGATACAAATAAAGGATATTTATATCCCAGTCATTACAGCACTTCGAGACCTACAGCTGTTAATATTAGTTTTTTGGAAAATATAAGAAAGTTTTTCTATGATTTTTATTTTTTATTTTGCATAATTACATTTAATATAAGCAATAGTCTCACATCTAATTTGTGTTTTACAAATACACATAAAAACAAAATGGAAGTATATCTATTGTCTTTCATTGACGTGTACATATATGTAAATATTCAATTGTTGTTCTTAAAATCATAATAAGTGTTGAAGCTAGCTCTTGAATTAGTTGGTGGTGGCGGTGCCGGTCTCTTTTTTATTATTGACTGAGATGATGAACAAGACAGAACAGGAACCAAATTCAATGGTAGCGGTGGTGGTGGTGGTGCTGGCCTCTTTTTCATTGTTGAGTGAGATGATAAAGAAGATACAACAGGAACTAACTTCAATGGTGGTGGTGGTGGTGCTGGCCTCTTTTTCATTGTTGAGTGAGATAATAAAGAAGATACAACAGGAACTAACTTCAATGGTGGTGGTCGTATACCAATATCTTTTAATATTACTTTCTTAGGAGGAGCTGGGGGCAGTAGACTATAATCATTATTTTCTTGAATATTCAATCCACGACTATGATTGCTCCAAATTCTATTCATCCAAGGTGTCGAGTGTAATTTAATTAATGTAATCAAGCATCCAACACGTTGATACTAAACAGAAACGTTTTCTATTATATTCTTCAAACAAATTTTTAAACCTTTATTGAACAA